AAAATATTTTTTAAAAAATCCAAGTTTCAATTAATCCTTGAAAAAATATTTTTTAAAAAATCCACGTTTGTCCTGGTGGTTGAAAAAATATTTATTTAGAAAATCCACGTTTGTTCTGGTGGTTGAAAAATATTTTTTTAGAAAATCTACGTTTGTCCTGGTGGTTGAAAAAATATTCTTTAAAGAATCCACGTTTTTCTTGGTCTTTGAAAAATTATTTTTTAAAGACTCCACGTTTGTGGATTTTTTTTAAATTATTTTTTTTTAAAAATCCTCGTTTCAGCTGGTACTTGAAAAAATTTTCTTTAAAAAATCCACGTTTCTGCTGGTCCTTGAAAAAATTTTCTTTAAAAAATCCACGTTTCTGCTGGTCCATAAAAAAATATTCTTTCAAAAATTCATGTTTCTGTTGGTCCTTTAAAAAATATGTTTTAAAAAATCCACGTTTGTGCTGGTGTTTGAAAAAATATTTTTTAAAATATCCACGTTTCTGTCGGTCCTTGAAAAAATATTCTTTTAAAAACAACGTTTTTAATGTGGATCCTTGAAAAAATATTTTTTAAAAAATTCACGTTTGTCTTGGTCTTTGAAAAAATATATTTTAAAAAATCCACGTTTCTGTTGGTCCTTGAAAATATATTTTTTAAAAAATACACGTTTCTGTTGGTCCTTGAAAAAATATTCTTTAAAAGATTTACTTATTTTAAAAAATGTTTTTTTTTTAATCGTATTCTCTAGCTTTTTGAATTTGTTTATATTTTTTTGTTTTTTTTTTTATTTTTATATTTTTTGGATTTAATTATTTATTTTTTTATTTATTTCTTTATTTAATATTTCAGCAGACGTTGAAAAGGTGATAATTTTTTTTTTTTTTTTTTTTTTTTGTGAGGCATTTCCAGTGAAAGTATAATTAACAAAATTTGCGGTTTACAGATTTCCCTTCATTATTGTTTTGTTAATTGTGTCTGCTATTAAAAAAAATACGATGTGCCGGACAACAGCTGGTATTTGGTACAGGGTGAGTCATTAAGTTGAGACAAAGATATTGATTGTGTGTTTCATAAAAGTTCTACAAAAAAATTAAAAAAATAAACCTACATCCATATAAGTAAGAATGTATGTGTGTGTAGATATATATGTATGTATGTATTTATGACTGCTATACAGCTTCCCAAAGGTGCCAGAATCATTTATAATTCCATTTCCGATACTCATTCCCATGTCTAATGAACTTCAACTAAAATATATGCGAACAAATGTGTTTGAAGCCGGAAAGAAAATTTATGTTTCATTTAAAACTAAAAATAAATTCCAAAAACCTGTTACCGAACAAATATTCATTTCCATTTCAAAACTAAAACCGAGTTGAGAATCTAATGTTTTTGGTGAACAGAGGTCACCGAATCATGATTTTCATTGCGGCCAATAACTCGGTCTAGAGAATTTTAATTTTTTTTTTGATCTGAGGCCATTGCCTGAGCTGCTGTGAGTTTTTTGTTCTGTCACGACCTGTATGAAAAACTAACGATGACGATAATATTTAGACGGAATGACGATGATTAGAAATTTTGGAGGTCAAGCTATAAATTAATTTATAGAAAACAAAAATACTCATCAAAAATAGCGTCGAAGTAGAAGACGCATAAAATTTTAATAATTTAACCAAAAGAATTAAAAAAAAAACAAAAACAACATATAAAAAAAATAAATATTATGTCTCGTGTAACCGGAAAAGAACATAAATTTCTTAATGGATTGAAGATAAAACTGGAGCAATAGGTGTAATCATTTGTGGGTCATGGAGGAATAAAATTTTATTTTAGAAAAAAAAAAATCTCAAACTAGGCACGTGGCAATCTGAAATCTTGAAATTTGAAATGAATTTTATTGGCGGAGTATAGGATTAGGTAATGCAGGAAATTTTCGAAATCCGTACTTATGTGGACGAAAAGTACTAAATAGTACTAAATTTGGTAGAATTTTGGATTTGGGCAAACCAACAGGGATGGTATCGTCCTAAATCCTAAATTTAGGAAATAGGATTATTGTGGGAATGTTAGATTGGGTTTTGCAGGGATTTTTGGAAATTCGTACTTAAGAGTAGCAAATGGTACTAAATTTGGTACCAATTGGGATTTGGGTGAAATAGAGCTGGAATTCAGAAATTTGGAAATAAGATTACTGTCGGTCTGTAGGATTGGGTCATGGAGGAAGTTTTCGAAATTTTTACTTATGTGCACGAAAAGTACTAAATGGTACTAAATTTGGTACAAATTGGGATTTGGATGAACCGATAGATTTTGAATCCTGAAAATTGGAAATAAAATTACTGTCGGAGTGTAGGATTGGAATATGTGGGAAGTTTTAGGAATTTGTACTTATGTGTACTAAAATGGTACTAAATTTCGTACAATTGGGATTTGGGTGAACCAATTGAGCTGATTTCTTAAAAATTGGAAATAAGATTGCTGACTATGTGTGGGATTGGGATACAGAAGAAGTTCTCGAAATGTGTACTTATGTACTATAATTGTACGAAAAGTACTAACTGGTACTAAATTTGGTATTGGGTGAAGGGATAGGGCTGGAATACTCAAATTTGATATTGAGATCGGTGGTGATATCTGGAATTGAGGTATGAAGGTGGTTTTGGAAATATGTACTATAATTGTACGAAAAGTACAAAATAGTACTAAATTTGGTATTGAAGTTATAGATAGCTGGAATCACGAAATTCGATATTGAGGCTCCTTGAAGAATTGCCAGAAATGTATTTTTAGGTGTCATCGAAAAAAGAAGAAATGGAGGAAACGACCCCAAAAAATTAATGAGGAACGGTCAAAGTCGGATCCCAATTTTTAAGAATTTGAAAAATTTTATGGATTTACTCGTTCAGATCAAGAACAAGAAAATCCTGAATCTGCGGATGTTTTATAAATTATTTTCTCGAAATTTACCTTTTCTCTTTGGGCCGTATTTTTATACCCTTCACCATAGTATGGAGGGTATATTAAGTTTGGAAATCACTCTAGCTTC